GATTTGGGTGTGCTGGCTTTATTTCTAAATAGTCATTAATTCAATAGCATATCCCAAAAGGACTAAGAATGACAGACAAACTAAGTGTTCCTTTTATTAGGACAGCAACATAAAATTGCTTAACTCAACCATGTAATGGCCAGTAAAGGTAAAAAGAGCGCAGGACACACAATAGAAGAAAAACAAAATGATAAAAGGAATAACATTGTTCTCCCAGTGTCTGGGAGCAACATCTTGGAGTCTGTTTAAGTAAAAGGAAAAGGGGTTTATTGAGGGATAGAGATGGCCCAAACAGGGAAGACATTCAAATTCAGAGTGAAGATGGCCGCTCCACCCGACAATGAGAAAAAATACATTTTTGTTCAGTCAGAGCAGGAACTAAAAAGTTACAGAATCATTAATTGGCTAAAAGACAATCAAGGGAGACAAAGACAGGATATCTAAAAGTGAGGATTCAGCAGGGATAGGTGGGTAACACATAAGTGGGATTACATGACGGTTTAAGAGTGTATGCCCTTCAATTTATTACAGGATGCTCCCAGGATGGTGGCAATACAATTGTTTTTGTTTTGTTTGCAGTAACCTGTTCAGTGGAGTTGTTTCCTCGATCTTATCTGTTTCTGGAGATCCACTATAAAGACTGATCTATAATGCAGAGCTACCCCATCTTGAATAGACTGTGATGTCCTGTGCCTGCCAGACCTCAGAGAAAAAGAATGTCTCCTTTAGGATATATGGTTAGGTTACCATCAAGGCTATGTCAGCATCAAGGTTAAAGGAATTGCTGTTAGAAAAGGCATCTTTAAAATTCAACATGGATTCTACACTCATGTCAAGACTTTAAAATGGCATTAAGGCTCCACTTTCAGACTGCTCTATTGACACACACCAAGTATCTTTGATTCTAGACTCCCGTACAGCTCGCTAGTTAACTTGACTGAAGTCAAGGTTTGTTAAATGCTACTCAGAGTTGGAAAACTAAGTTAGTCATTAAAAAGACTCCATTAAGAACTGCCTGCTCCAAATTCCACTGCGTCCAACCAGTTAACAGTCACAATTAACCTTTAAATCTAAAGGGTAAAAATGATGTCTGTTTAAAAAAAGACTGTTGACTGTATTGTAGAGTTTTATCTAATTATTATCAAAATCAAACCCACTGCTGTCAAGTTGATTCAACTCATAGTGTCCCCTATTGGGTTTCTGAGGCAGTAAATCTTAATGAAACTAGATTGTCCAGTCTTGGTTTTGCCTACCAAAAACCCAAAGCTACATAGATTTCATGCACCAAAGGGAAATCATAACTACATACACTTTTCTTCTGAAGCCTACTCATACATTGTCGCCACACATGGAAAAGAAGCGAAAAGAGGGAAGTTAACGGTGTGCGTCTCTTAATGATGTGACTGGCCCACCTATTTCATTTAAGAAACAGGGTTCTGCTCCGCGACATTGTCCTGGATTTCTCCCTCCAACGTGGTGTTCTTTCCAGTACACCGTAAGGCCAAAGCTGTATTACCGTTGTCCTCGTGTGATTGTGTAGGCACTTCTATAGTATGGCTTTCCTCCTGCTGCAGGATCGGTAATAGGACCCATATAGGACTCTCGGTACCAGAGGCTGTAAGATTGAGACCCACTTGGCGAAGAAGACTGTGAGTAGCGTCTGTGTTTTCCGCTGGTGGTGCCTCCTGGAACCAGATTTTGATCTGTCCTCTAAGGCAGCTCCGACTGCAGGACGACGACCGACTGGACAGACACCCTGGAACCAAACTGAGAGCTTCTGAAAGAGGGGGCGAGCCCGGCCACACGTCGTCATGGAGCTAGGACAAGGTTGCCTCTGGTCTTTACCTATCTTCTCTTTGAAAAGGGTCAACTCCTTAAAACCCCAGCTATCCCCTAACAGTGATTCTCAACCGGGACGATTTTGCCCCCGAGGGGACATTCGGCAATGTCTGGCGAAATTTTTAGTTGTTATAACTTAAAGGGTGCTACCAGCATCTAATGAGTAGCTGCCTGGGATACCACTAAACATCCTACAGTGCACAGGACAGTCCCCTACAACAGAATTATCCAGCCCAAAAAGGCAATAGTGCCGAAGTTAAGAAACGCTGCCTTAAAACAAACGGAAAAAAAAGGTCAGGTCTCGGAAATAGGTTACCACGCCCGGATTCGTACCCACAATGCTCCCCACCACAGCGCTCCCCACCACAGCGGCGAATTTCCCGCCTCCCTGAAGTAACCCCTCAGGCAGGCTGAGCAACGGCTCGGGCGTGGCCTGAGAAAAATAAACAAAACTTAAAAACTCAAAGGCTACGAGGCCGCGATCCTTCCCCTACCTTTTGAGCCACTCAGGGCACGGCACTTTACCTGCCACCATATCTGAGATAACTCCGGGACCGATTCCACCACCAAGAAATTTATCACAGGTCGTAGACACTTCACTCAAGACGGATAAAAAGGCCCAAAGGACGCCTTACTTTCGAAGCTTAGAACAAACTGCAACTTCAACCTACTCTTAGAAGAGCGTAGTCAAAACCATCACTTATCACATTTGGACGCAAACTGAGCGCAGTGGAAAGTACCTGAAACTAGCGCTCCAAGCCAGCATAAGGTTGTTTCCGCGGTAGGCGTGGCTCTCTACCAGCCCTAACTCCTTCTGCCCGACGCTCTTTGCGCCTCACGCAGTGTCTCCAGGATGCGCATGCGCGACTATCCCCGGAGGGGGCGGTGCTGCTACATCCGGGTGTTCGGTGGCCTGTGACTGTTTTGTTTGCTTGCATCAAACTAGAAGAAAGTGAGGCGGTTCCGCGCGGCGAGACCAGGCTCCGGACCTACTGCACGGGCGGGGTCGGGCGTAAGTGCCAGGCGGTGAGTGGGGCAAGGGGGAGAAACATCCGCAATCTACGGCTCAGACCCGGGACTGTGTGAGTAGCAGATGCTGATAGGGTCGTTGTCTCTACCCTCTGGGACTCTGCAGACTGGGGCTGTGCCTCCGTGGATCCTTCCTGGAGACTTCTTCCCGTCCTGTGTCCAGCCTGCAGCGTGGGAGGGCGACGGCGCCCTGACCCTGGCTGCTTGCCAGACTAGTGGAGGAGATGGAGCTGGGCGCGCGCTTCTCCCCTGGAAGATCACAGACTCCCTGAAAAGCATTTCTTCGTTCTTTAGAGATGGGGAAACCGAGTCCCGGAGAAAGAGTGTAACCTGGCTGGTTCACACAGCGAGGGAGGTGGCCGAGCTAGAACTAGTTCCCAGAACTTTCCAGTTTCAGTTCACTCTCTAGACCAAAAATTCTCAGAGCCTGGAGGGTGGGGTTTGAGCCAGAGTGTACCAGTTATCCTGTAAAGCTAAATGGACTCGGGGCAGGACCCTTGGGAAGAACCGAAAATAAAATATACTGGACTGCAGTTTCTCCCAGGGAAGGATAAAAGGAGTGAATGTTCAAAATGGAACTTATAATTGTCCTGAGGAGCTCTGGTAGCACTGTGGTTAAAGCATTCGGCTGCTAACCAGAAGGTCTCTGGTTCGAACCCACCACCCCGCTATACGGGTGAAAGATGGGACTACAGGTCTCCGTAAAGGTGGAAGCTCTATGGGGCTGTTCTACTCTGTCTTGGCGTCTCGGTGCGTTGGAATCGACTCGATATCAGTCGGTTTGGTTTTTTAATGGTTGTCCCGAGGGTTGTTAGCCCTGTTTATAATCACAGTTTTTAATATTTAATGTTATAAAGAGGTTATCATTGGATTTGTTTACTCTTTGAGTATTTACTATTTCTAAACTAAAAAAAACAAACTCGCAGGCGTAATAGATCGCTTCGTGGATGGATTCAGCCTTTTCCCTAGGTGTTTGGGTGTTTTCTTGATTATTAGCAAGTTGTATGTAATTCATGCTTTTTCGTACTCTGAAATAGAGATAAGGTAGATGTGTTTAGGAATGTTTTGATTCATTGAGACAATTTAGATTTTCTGTGGTAATTCAGCATTTTTGTTTGTTTGTTTTTGCATCTGAATTAATATTGACCTCAGTGTTGTGCTTTAATTCGGTTGGAAACCACCTGTTAGAATTATAGGTAGAGATATTAAATTAAAATGGTGTTCTTGTCATAGAAATGACTCCAAAAAAGCAGGCTTAGAAATGGAAAAAATGGTGGGGTGAAAGGAAGTGGATGTGGGTAGAGGTATAACCTGCAGTGCAGTGTTTACTTTTCTTAATCTGGCTGTGTAGAAACACATGTACTATATGTAATAAAATACGCACATCAATAGGGGAAAAAGTTCTCTGCTGAACCTGTGGTTTAACCCAGAGCCAAAGTTTAGCACTTGTCTCTCTACAGTCTTAATGCCCTGATCTGTAAATGTCAAAATCATCTAACTTAGTTTGGAGTGAAAAGGTACAAAAAAAACTTGTGGCTTAATAAGCACTGTTAGGTTATTAAAAGACTTGTTGTTATGTGCTGTCCAGTCAGACCTGACTCATAGTGACCCCTCCTTGGGTTTCCAAGGCAGTATCACTACGGAAGTAGATTGCTTAACCTTCCTTTCGAGGAGTGGCTGGTGGATTTGAACCCCCAGCCTCTGGTTAGGAGTCAAGTGCCTTAGGCACTATGTTACCAGAGCTCCTATTAAAAGACTTACTTAAACTAATTTAATAACCTACTTGGAAATAGTATGATGTGACAGTTACCAGCAGAGGTCAATCAGTAGTTAAAAAAATTTAAGTATCTGGGTACTCACCTTTGTTCATTTTCCTTGAATATACAAAGCTATGTTTATATGGGAAAAAAAAATACTAAAAGATTCCAAATTTTGTTTTTCAAAGTTATAATGTAAAAATTCATCAAAAACTAAATCAGACGTTCTGAACAAGTAGTACATGGAACCAAAATAAAACATTTGAAATTATGTAATAACTTTTATTAAGTTATTCCAGAACTGTGTGTTCATTATTTTTTAGGGACATAATCAGGTTTGAAGGAAGTAAATAAAAATACTTTATTTTTTTTAAGTGACCTGAAAAAAAATGTCTGGATTTCTAGAAGGCCTGAGATGCTCGGAATGCATTGATTGGGGGGAAAAGCGCAATACTATTGCTTCCATTGCCGCTGGTGTTCTAGTAAGTGTCATGAATAATTTGGGCTTTCATTATTTTGGTGTGTTTATTGTTTTGAATTCTGCATGATGTTTTTATCTATGACCAATGAATTTATTTTGTGAATGTTGATATAATTTTGTTTTGTTTATGAGAGAATTGATTTATTCCATTTTGAGAGCTGAAATTATGTTTCGAAAGCTGAAATTATGTTTCGAAATTTGAGTAATCCATTGGTTGAATTTCTTAGCTACATAGTAAAAGTGACATAAAGAAGACATTGCATTTTATGTATTTATTCATCATATGGATTCTGACTCCTCCTAATGAGTACATTAAGTTACCAGGAAGTGTTTAAGAAACAGTGAGGTTCGTATCAGTAAAGAAATACAATGTATTTGTGTTTTATGATTTTGTGATGTTATGTGCTCTAAAGAGTAATTTAAAATAAAAGAATGAATAAAAATCCAAGTTTAAATACTTCATCTTCTCTTCAGCTAAGCCCCGATGTTTACATCTGTGAAAGTAATTTTCCCATACTTTTTCTAAAGGAATGACAAAATTTAAGGCTACTGTGGAAATTCTGCTCTCCCAAATATCAAATAAAACTTTAAATTTTAGTCCATAAAGAAAATGTCTGGAATACATTGAGCTGAGGGTGGTG